GATTTTTCTCGCGTCCGTTATCGTCGCAGAAATAAAATGTTTTATAACCCCGGGTGAAACAACGTTTACGAACATATCTGCGGCCGATTAGGGGTCCGGTGAAACGAGCAACGAGGGGGAAAAACGCCGGACACCGCGATGGAAGTCAATTCCTGTGTGTACGTCGTCGACGATAACGATTTAATACGGAAAAAGTGAACCGTAACGTGAACGGCGATTAAAGAATCGTATGGAAAACTCGGAACGACACTGAACCTTTCAATTTATAGATAAACGGCCTCTCCTTCGATCTCTTTGTTTATCTGGCAATGATTTAACACGTTACACAGCGGTTTCTAGGGACTGCCATCAGAGTTTCATAATTTATTTATCGTAATTTATTTATACCTATAGGTAAATATAAATTTGAAGAAGAAAGGAAAATAAATGAAGATAATACATAATTACTGATTTCATACCAATATTTACGTTAATTGTAAATGAAGTAGGTAAATATATATTTTGTTCTACAAATTTTGTTAAGATGGAGATCAAAGAATTACATGAAAGATTCGAAAAGATTCTTTTATAGATATCTCTTCCAATTTGTCTCTAATTGTTGCAAAATTTCTAGGCACAGAAATTTGTGTAACTGTTCAAAGTACAATGTATACAAACATTAAAGAAAAATGCAACTGGATATAAAATATTTGAAATGGATCCTTTTCACCTGCCTGATAATTTCAATGTTAATTAACGCACGGTAACGTTTGAGAGTTTACGTGAAATGTAGTTTACAGTGAAATCGATGATCATAACGTTATACGAGTGTGACGTTACTTCCAAGTAATTTGTTACATGTGCCTGATTAAATTTTCCTAGCGTCGAGTTCACAGCAACGAGCAGCGCTATCTTATGATCCTCGTTAACAATGCTTCCGTAACGAAAGCTGCAGGTGCTAATATTAGATTATGGGCCATTTGAAATAGAGGAAATGCCGTGAAAACGGCTCGCCCGGCGTAATGAAGGGAATACAGATACTCGGTATTTCCCCGAGGCGCGATGCAGTCAGCAATTCATATATGATTCCCTTTGTGGGTAAGAACATTACTCATTCGCGCGAATATTAATTAAATAGCAATCGCCTCATTTCTATACACTCATAATTTGATCATCGGTTCGAATAATCAACAGGTATTTCCGGGTCTCGTTTCCCACTGTAAGTTTGTCACTATTGAACTTCTATAAACAGAATTACATTCATATAAATAATTTTCATCCAGTTTATTGATAAATATATTTAAAAAATCTTTGTACGCTTAAATATAGAACACTATTAACACTTAAACAGTGATAATTTGTCAGCAATACTGATTTCACCTATAAAACAATAAATTAGAAAATACAGCAATTACAATAAATATAAATGGAAACAATTTTTACATCTCCGAATAGATGAAGGTTAATTGTGACAAAAATTAATTGCACTTTCATTGTAAACAAACAATTCGCTTATCACAGCTTCATTTCGCTGTCGAAATAAGATCCGTTGTTTCGATTACAATCTGAAATTGCAATTGCCAAAGATTTCGCTAATTGTCCAACTCGTTCGACACGCGTATACTCGATATTGGTGCGCAATTACTCTCGTATCGACGGCCGTCAGTGATTTCCATCGTTAATGAGTGACCACGTCCGAATATTCTCCTCCGTAATGACACTCCTGGTAATATTCGCGTAGACACTAGGGTATAGGCCGACCATACTTCGGTCATGTTGTAATTAATGGGACACACGGAGGATCAGCGAATCTAATTAGTTATGTCGTCGATCAACATGGATCATCCGTTGGTCAGGGGAACCTTTGACTTGCGGACAATAAGGGATCGCCTTTCCAGGGGAATTTGTTTGTTACATATTCTGTTTCTGCGAAATTGAAGTAGCTCGTTAATGAAATAAACTTATCAGAGAAATGATCTGTCCCAAGATTAGTAGTAGGTCATTTAATAATAGTATGATTTAATTTAAAACGGTAAGGTTCATATAAAATCGTGCCAATAAGAACTGTAAACAGTACGATTTAATTTAAAAAATCAAGAATTTTCATACGTTGAGGTATATGATTCTCTTTTAACAGGTGAATAATTTTATACTGATTTATTTAAAGAAACATTCGATGAACATGGAGAATATACGATGAAATAATTGAGAGTGAACAGTTCATCTAAAAGTCGTAATTAAACTATAATGTTCCTGAGTGAAGGATCGTGCAATGTTAATGAAAGAAACCGCGGCGATCCATTGTGAATCATAAACGACGCGAGCAACGCGAGATTGATAGCGGTGCTCTATTCATTCTGAACTCACGCCGGCTAAGAATCATGAATGAAGACGAATTTGCTCGTTAACATTGCCTCCCAACGCGGTGCGGAAACGTTTATCTCGCGTCTGAGATATTTCAATCTGAATCACTGCACACTTCTCATTTCTCCATTCTTCAGTAAATGATAATTAAGCCAATTTACAATCGCGTTCCTCCATATTCACGTTCGCTTATCAACTAAAACTTCTGCTAAATATATAGATACTAAGTTTCTTCGAACATCATGCTTTTTATTCTTTGCATTTATTTGTAATTTTATTTTTATCAATATGTCATACAGATTTCAACGAATTATTTCTATTTCAATACACATCGAAGCTTCGTAACTTCAGCAACAAAACTAATCACGATATTCTTCAAAATTGTAATTCTACATCCACGTACGTAATAATTTTAAATGCCTCACCACCATTTTACGTTGCCCGATAAATGCATTAGCGACCGGATCGGTCGCTGCACCGCGGAATTGTGACGTTTACGATTCCCAAAACAAATTTACTGCGACCTGCTTAGCTGTAACGCTCAAAACTTCGATGTAATCGTTGCTACAGTAACAATATATCCCGAACTCAATGTCTTTGCGAATTGTGTTAATTACCCTACATGATTTAACGTCCCGGAAACTGCATTAGTTGCTCATGCAACCTACACGTGACCGCGGTCCAAATATTGCGCACAACAAACTTCCATCTTCCTCGATAAAATTGATGCTACGTTACTCTATTATCATCGTGCAGTTTGATCCCATTCCCATCAACGTTATACGAAGTATTTCCGTTTTCTACCCTATGCTCTGCCATTGCCACAGATCATCTTTCGAGGCTACGAATTTGAAACCAATATTATTTCTGACCGTTGAAAATTTGAAAACTAATCAATTACAAATGTTCGACATTTTTAGACAAAGAAACTCATTTTTCTACAACTTAATTTTGCAATTGCACATATTATAACTACTTATTATTGATAATAAATTAGTCAAACAAAAAATTCCATGCTCTTTTTATTTAATCTAAAATCAGATTTACTCTATACCATACAAATTGCTAGCAAAGAAACTAATGTTCCATTTGAACTGAACATGACGGAATGACATTTATATTCATAGAACAATATTTAAAATCTTCGCCACAAGTCCTACAAGATATTATAATGTACAGGTTAATAAAGAAGAAAAACGATTTAATGATTCCCATCAGTAACCAGTCGAATAGTTGGCTATAAAATAAACATAAAGAAGACTAATTGATTAATCCGACTGAAAGAAAACACAAAACTTTAAATCATATTTTGAAAATTCAGCATTAATTCCAATACAGCTTATATAACAAAGTATTGCTTAAAATTCAACAGAAAATGTTAGCTAAATCAGCTTAAGTACTTAACGGATTCCGCTAATTGCACAGAAACGCATTAGTGAATCGAACGAAGTGGACTGGATAAAAAAAAAAGTATCATTGCGTGTTTCCCGTTCGTTTTTTCTATAATTATCGCAAATAAGGCGGGCGCGTTGCACGCGAAACAACAAGGCCGGGAACGTGTTTCGATTTGCGAAAGCGCACTACAAATATTTTCATTACAAGTGAAACACGGTGCAGCGTTTAAGAATTTCGATCGGTTAGATAATCAAATTAAAAAATGGTTTAACGAAGCTGTTTGAAGGACAAATTGAATCAGGGTGACCACATAAATAGATCAAAAGGTACAAAATCAAACTGGAAATGCTTCCGAATAATTTAGCCAACTTATTTAATACAAGCGTTACAAGATGACTTCGCAAAATACAACAGATCTAACATCCTAACAAAAATAGATAGAATTTCTAGATACAATCCGAAGGGAAAGCATCGTCACGTTAATATCATGAGAACTTTAAAGCAATTTTTAAATTATAAAAACTTAAAACGAACGGTTTCTGAATAAAACAAATTGTAAATTATCTAGGAGTTAACAAAAAAAAATAAATCGAATTAAATAAATAAAAATAAAATTCAGTTGAAAATCATTTCATTGTTATAATGAATATAACTTTCACATTGATCATATTAAAATTCAACAAAATAAGTATGTAATAGAAAAAAACGTTTCAATAACATTAAAGGCTTCAAAGGAACTCGGAACGCTGTTCAAATCGAATATCTAGAAGAGTATGCAAATCAGTGAATAAATATTTACTCGAGACATTCGCTCACCTCGGTTTGCATGTCCATATTAACCATTCTCATAGATACAGTGTCTTCAATTTTTTCAGGTCACGACCTGTAACAAGGAAACGCAGGATTTTTAACACATATACATATCAGGTACGATAATACTAATTTACACCGTAATTCATACCAGTATGGGATACATTAATAGATATTTATTTAGTGACGCATACATAAATACACTTCTAAAAGGTATACACCGACACACGCATGAACAATTCAGCGAACATTGCCAACATTACAAACTTTCAACCAACACCGATAAATTCGCTAATTTCACGTGTTGTCCGATACGATGCCGTGTTATATAATTGCATTAATTCTCAGGCTCGAAACAATTTAATCGTAGACATTTGTCTCTTCGGTCGACTAACGTAAAGTTTCACGAACGAAATCGATGATACTGGATTCGATTTATGAATGTCCGCGCACTTAACAAATTGAATTCGCGAACAGAATATTCACGTAAATATAGATCAATGGAATCTTTTATAGTTCCATTCGTCTCTCGCCATTTCCCGGCTCGAAATGTTCATATAACGGGCGTTATAGCTGGAATAAGATCGATTTCCGGTTCAAGGATATAAAAAAAATTACCTCCCATTACAATTCATTTTCGCGAAATTCTTTCTTGGGTTTTCTTTTTTCTTTCTTGCCCTTTTTTCTGTTTTCCGAAACTAAAGGTCATTTTTCAACGGAACGAAGAGAGCCGGTGTGCACGCATCTACGTGAACGAGGTAAGGTCACAGCCATGGCCGTTCCGCCATTTCTTTTTTTAACACGAACCAATTGCGTGACTCACTACGTACAATTTAAGCATAGCAATTTATTGACCAGCTGAAATTTATGTATTTCAAGCTTCAAAGGGATCCGGGTTTTGCACGGACACGCTTCAAACTCAAAATATTACATTCCGCTGTCAATCTTAAATATAAAACGCGTTTATATAAAAAAAAATGTCGGAACGCTGTGTTTATTTGCAGAGCGCTGTATTTTTATGGAAATTAATTTCTTCGATCGTTTGTGTCACTGATATTCTTTGTGAGTTAACAAAGGATGTTAGGTTGCTGTTTTTGGGATGGTATAAAACAATAATTTACTATTTATCTGAAATGAAGTGTTTAGATGACAAATTTTATCAAACAATTTTGTAAAAAAACTGCTATATGAAATGATGTAGCTAATTTTTTTGCGAATATTTTCTATTTAGATTGTACCCGACGGGTATTTTGACAAATATTTTCATCGTTACAAGAATATACTTCCTCCAACGCGGTTACTAGTGTGTTATATGTATTAACGTCAATATGCATGTAGACACCACTCAAAATTAACGCACAAGTACTACGAAACTTCATCAAACTCCCGAGTACTCGATGTAATTACGTTACACGGCGATATTTTCGTCATTTAGACATTCGCTACGCGTCCCGTTTCGAATAATATTTTGAATACGAAATTATGTCAGAGAATCTTATGGGAGGATAAATATAAAAACAGTAAAATCAAGTTTGAAAGATACGTGTATTTTGCAGAATCTTCCTGTATTATTTATAGTAGTCGATTACATATTTAAAATATTTTGAGCTTCATTAACAATGGGAAAAATATACGTCAATAAACGTAATCATTATTAAACATAGAAAGTGTTCAAGTATGATACCATCAAGGTCTACCAGACTAATATAGCTTAACAAATAATTTTTCTAATAAGAAATCTCTAACCGATATGAATCGGTAAGTTAATTAACACTAATCGACACATCTTGTGTCCTTTTAAAGAATTATCAAGACAAATTTCACACTATTAAATTAAACAGTGTTAAATTAAAAGTTCTCTATGTTCGACAAATATCAACAATCTTCCAGTTTATTTATTTAGAACATTCATTTATTTAAACTTCATTTAATTAATGCACACTATTAATACTAACCGTACCAGCACTTTGTATACTGGAACCAGCGAATAATCAGTTACAGAATGTAACAAGTTTGACGATAAATTTTTCTCGGACGAAAACGAAAGGAAACACAAAAACTGAAAAACCAATTAATCGGATAATACGAGAACGGATATAAAGTTAAATAAACGAAAGAAAATACAAAATCTTAAATCAAATTTTAAAACCGATCATTTGAGCGGTCACGATATGTTTAGTGTTAATTCAACTTTATACACCTGCTACGTAACGATATTTGAGCATTCCATAAGAACACGTGTCTCCGATATAATAATATTTTGATTGTCTCCATCGAAGTTCAACAGGATGTATTAGTTATTCATACTGAAATTTTTCATCAGTTTCACCATTCGGTGGAAAAACGGTATCTACACATGATAAGGAACACAAAGGGATTCCTTAATTCGACTTTTGGGAATTAATGATCCCGAATCAAGGTTTCCGGCGAGGTGTTTGCATTTGGTGCCCGTTTATCGACGGATTTGCATATTTTATCGCAACTCGGCGCGAAGATGGCTAAGATAACGCTGACTATTATTTTTTAAACGATAGTGCCCTACGAACAACACCAAAGGAATTTATATCGCGTTTCGATAGCGCTTACAGTCTACCGTATCATTTTCTATTATTTTCCAATATTTTCTTCATGAAATAGGAATGTCGTTTTCGTATCAAACCGAATTTCCGCACGAAAGCTGCGGGATATTGCCAAATATTATTAAAATATCGCATGCTTCTGGCTTTCATTAGAACAGAGGTCGGAAATAGATATTGTGTTCTGGTGTTTCGTGGAGCAGTGTTATTCGATGAAATTTCATCGCACGGGTAAACATGGTCGAAGGAAAAATGAAGTTTCTTCCTGGATCAAACATATTTACAGCAGAATTTCGATGATCGACCGACCACGTTCCGCCAACGGAGGATAACACAAAGGCACGCGCAAAAATATCTTCGCTCGCGTTGAGGAAAATTGGAACGAGGCTTCTTTCGTGGCCACTGATAGAATTTAAAGAAATATAGGGCCTTTCGAAATAAATCATGCTCGGCAGTCAGGGCTTACGTAATATAATTCATTTTTAAAAAGATACTCGGAAATCCTTTTATCAGGCCTTTTTGTGCACGGTTTTCATAACCATAAACTCATCGGGAATCTTCTATTATTACGAATCTCTTACAAAATCCTGAACTTCATCATATAGGCAACAGTGGCCTAGATAACGGAATTCGTTTCCTGCGAACTGCATCGTTGCATTAAGAAAAATATGTATAACACGAGTACAAATAAATCTATATAAAATGTATCGTTCAAGATAATAGAGGAATTCTTGTACGTAAATGCTTCGATGAATATCTAATTAGCATATCGTTGGATTGAATGAAAATCCAATTTTTTCATTCAAACTAATAAACACAAGGAACGTACGATCAAACGACGTCGTTCACAGCGAACGCGTTGACCTGTTGAATCCTTATCGTACCGATCAATCAACGTTATCGTATCATTTGCAAACGTCAAATAAATGTACTGCATAAAATAAAGAGAATTCGATACATAATTCAATTATTTATGGAAAAATTTTTTGTAACCTTAATATGTTCCTTACTATTTGTTTCGATGGCCATCTTTTCAGTTATATTACTTCATCGAATTTAACGAATCTTCTAAATAAAATATTGAGAAAGAAGAAAGTTAAAAGCAGTCATCGAATATCTGAATACAAATATACCTATCTATAGCATCAATTTCATTTTGTGGACTAGTGAACGTGTTAAAAAAATTCTATTTCACATAAGGTTTACACATTATCTAAGTATTCCAAGTTATTGAACAGTTTATTGAAGACTAACAATCAATGCCTAAGGATTTTCCAATAAATCTCCCAATAGCAATTAAAATAAAAATATAACATAATATGTAACATTAACAAAGAATGTGCAGCCAATATGGAATATGTTCCATATTAGGAACCCACGTATTTCGATAGAAAAATAATAAGTATTCCAAAAAGAAAATAAATTTGCAGCAAATTGCTTTTGAATAGTTGAAAACGAACAGGTTCAATAATAAATAATGAAAAAATAACAATTTTTATCCTATCTACATTAAGGAATTTGACGATTTAACTCGTCTTTCAGAAAACTAGCAAACACAATAATGTTCTCATTCAATGACAAATTCTTAATTGATGTCCAACCAATTATTTTCCATCGCCAATTAAGTGTTTCCCATGGTAACTGACACATTAAGTTATTTTCCGAAATATCCTAGTGTTCCATATTAAGCGCCTTTGCCCTATGTACATCCATAGCGCTTAAAGGGTTAATAAGCACGCGAGGAGAACGTAAATCACAGGAAACGAGAATCACGGAGAGACGGTCCCCGTAAACATTGGCGGTACGATCGGCATGAACGGAGGGATTCGTCTCTCTAATCAGTAAAGGTAGCACGCGCGACCAATCGGGTGCCGAAGACGAATCGCCAAACGTTTCTTACAACTGTTCCGGGAACATCGGGTGATCTTCGATTTAGCAAGAAATAGTTTCTGTAGAGGCGGTTGCGGCTTCATACACGGTGTCTGGCCCAACGCCAGCTTCCAACCAGTTAACCACCGACCGCAACTTTCCAATACCAATCTAACTCATTCATCAACGGCACACAACAGACACGACACCTGCGTCTGTGGACCAAACATATTTTTTCGTTCTCTCGCGTTCCTCTTTTTTTTCGGGGCACGACTCTTAAGTCACGTACACATCGAAACACATGTCGAACGACATTTGTTGCCAAGAAAACTATTCGATTGAAAGAGGCGAAATAGTTGTTTAACTCTTGAAACGATAAATTTACGTATTTTTTATGGAAGGAGTCATTTCGACTTATACTGAATTTTATAAACATTATTTGTTAAATGTTTGTGCCGATTTTGATCAATGCAGGTACGTTAATATGAATCCTAATCGGCTACGTTTAAACCTCTAATTTCCGAAATCTAAACGAACAAATGTCAATTTTTCTAAAAACTTAGAACAAACTGTACAATAAATATTCGTAAATCTAATGTTAACTGTGGAGTTTAGTTTAAAAAATCTC